CCAGTGCCCTCCCATCCTCACCAACACTTATCTTGTCAGTACAGTGGGGTGCAGTCGTACCTCATTGTGGTCCCAGCTCTTTCTGGAAGAACATTTCTCAGTTACAGCTTCTCTTTTCTCAGATGCCTGCCGTTTTTTCGCCACTGCATTCTACTTCTCCCTCTCCCTCTCTTTCTCTCCTTTCAGGTGTGTGCTGTTCAGGTGAAAAACACTGGTAAGATGTATGCCTGTAAGAAGCTGGACAAGAAGCGGCTGAAGAAGAAAAATGGTGAGAAAATGGCTCTGTTGGAAAAGGAGATCTTGGAGAGGATCAGCAGCCCTTTCATTGTCTCCCTGGCCTAAGCCTTTGAGAGCAAGTCCCACCTCTGTCTGGTCATGAGCCTGATGAACGGGGGAGACCTCAAGTTCCACATCTACAGCGTGGGCGCCCGCGGCCTGGCCATGAGCAGGGTGGTCTTCTACTCGGCCCAGATGACCTGTGGGGTGCTGCACCTGCATGCTCTCGGCATCGTCTACTGGGACCTGAAGCCTGAGAACGTGCTCCTGGACGCCGTTGGCAACTGCAGGCTGTCTGACCTGGGGCTGGCCACGCAGATCCAGGACGGCAGGCCTGTCACCCAGAAGGTGAGTGACTCTCCCTCTGCCCGTAGGGTGGGGCACAGAGTTGGAGGGGAAAAGGCTGTTCTATTTCCAGGGCAAACAGAGCCTTGGACTTAATTCTTCTAATTTCCTTTTCCCTAAAGCGCTTAGGTTGTCATCTTGCCTAAGTGGAGTGGTGTAAGTGGATTAGCTTAACTGGTTATTTGGGGGCGACTTAGCTCTTCTCTCGCTGGAGGCTGAGGGGAGACCTCTTGGTGAGTTGGAGATAGTCCATGCTGAATCTAACACCAGGGCCTGGGTTTCTTCCACTGATAACCAACTTCCTGGTGCCATGTTCCTGAGTCAATAGAGCCTTGGTTTTCTTTTCTGGAAAATGAGGGGCTGGGCCCTAAAATCCCAGGGGCTGGACCCTAAAATTCCAGAATTTTTGCAGGTAAACTTCAATAGGATGAGACAAAGAAAAAGAAGAAACCCCTAACTCTTAGCATGTTGAATTAAATATGGCCTTGTCTGTTAAGTGTGGAGTGGGGAAATGTTTTATATTACATGAAGATGAAATTTCAAATGAAGTATATAAAAGAGAACAAAGGCAACTGATGTGTATTTTGATCAATTTTGGTGAAAGTGGCTTGCAGAGAATTCTTTGATTAAAAAGAGAATTAGCCCTGGGCAGCAGTTAGAGCATTGGCCTGCACACTGGAGGGTTTCAGGTTTGATTCCTAGTCAAGGGCATGTACCTCAGTTGCAGGGTCGACCCCAACCCCCAAGTGGGGCAAGTGCAGGAGGCAGCCAATCAATGTGTTCTCTCACATTGATGTTTCTCTCTCCTCTCTCTCCCTCTCCCCACCTACCCTCCCTTCCACTCTCTCTAAAAATCAATGGAAAAAATATCCTCACTCCTTGGATGAGGATTTTAAAAAGGGGAGGATGAAATCCTAAATAATAAAACCCTAATATGCAAATCGACCGAATGGTGGAACGTCCAGTTGCTATGATATGCACTGACCACCAGGGGGCAGATGCTTGACGCAGGAGCTGTCCCCTGGTGGTAGTGTGCTTCCACAGGGGGAGCACCACTCAGCCAGAAGCTGGGCTCATGAGAGGGATGTCTGCCTGCTGGCTTAGGCCTGAGTCCCCTGGGGATCAGGCCTAAGCCGGCAGGCAGACATCCCCTGAGGGGTCCCAGACTTCAAGAGGGCACAGGCTAGCTGAGGGACATCCCCCTCCCCCAGTGTACAAATTTCATGCACCGGGCCTCTAGTTATATGTAATCAAGCAATTTTTTTAAAGTAAACAATACAAAGTCTCTGGAATTCTGACAGGTCTTTACCACTGAGTTTCTGTGAACAAAGGTGTGAGATTTCCCAGGAAGACAAGGGCCCAAGGCACATTTTAAAATATTCAATTAAAACTTTGTTTTTACACAGTTTTTAGTTTACGAGGCAGAGAAAGCAGTCAGGCAAGGAAGCGAGGAAAATCATGGCAAGTTTTAGAAATTGCAGGTCATTGATTATATGTGGCTGTAAGGTTTTGACAAGATGTGTAGGACTTAGTACAGTGATGGCGAACCTTTTGAGCTCGGCGTGTCAGCATTTTGAAAAACCCTAACTTAATTCTGGTGCCGTGTCGCATATAGAAATTTTTTGATATTTGCAACCATAGTAAAACAAAGACTGATATTTTTGATATTTATTTTATATATTTAAATGCCATTTAACAAAGAAAAATCAACCAAAAAATGAGATGATTGGGGAGGTAAGTGTCTGTCATAGGTTCGCCATCACTGACTTAGTATCATTCAAGGGCGTTGGAATGCTTTCCTGTGGGAACAAGAAGCCATTGTAGGGTTTTAAGAAGGGAATGACATGAGTCAATTTGCATGTTTAAAAGACCAATTTGGAAGGTAGATGAGAGGCAGAGAAGCAAGTCAAGGCCCAAGAAGGGATGATGGAGGCCTACATAAGCCAGTAGGACTGAAGCAGTGGCTGTAAATTGGAGGTATTGGAAAGAGACCCGGTGGGAGTTCAGGGTGAGGGACAGTAAGCTGGGGGGGGCGGGTGCGGGGGGCTCTCTAGCTCCAGTGATCAGAAGGAGGAGCAGAACTGTGGGAAAACTGGCAAGTTCAACTGTGATTGTATTGCTTATGAGGCACCTGTGTGACAGGCAGGTGAAGATGTTCCTTCACAATTCCCAGGGAAGACCCTCAGTGGATAACTTAGGTCACATGCCCAACCAAAACCAATTCTACTGGCCAGGATGAGATAGGTCACTGCTGTTCCCAGGAGCCAGAGAGAAGGTCTGCCCGTCTAAATCTCGCGAACTGACATAAGAGAAATGCATTCTCCAAGGGAAAATCAGGATGAAAAAGAATGGGAAGGCAGTAAATATCAGTTAGGCAAAAACAGTGGGTGCCTCTAATAACTGCTGTTACCTCAGTGGTTTAAAAATTCAGAAGCTTTCTGACCTCTTAATCAAGGAGTAATGGGATCTAGATCCTTTACAAAAGCTTCTATGAGATAGGGACCAGTATTGGCTCCATTTTACAGATGGAAAAATTGAGCCCAACTGGCGTGGCTCAGTGCTTGAATGTCAATGTATGAACCAGGAGGTCACAGTTAGATTCCTGGTCAGAGCACATGACCAGGTTGTGGCCTCGATCCCCAGTGGGGGCGCGCAGGAGGCAGCCAATCAGTGATTCTCTCCCAGCATTGATGTTTCTATCTCTCCTTCTCCCTTCCTTCCTGAAATCAATAAAAACACTATTTTTTTTAAGAAAGAAAAATTGAGACTCAGAGAAGTTAAGTTACTCACCCAAAGCCACATCACTAATACATGATAGGAACCAGATATGTCAGATCAAGAGCACCTACAGTTTTGACTCCACCTTGTTAAGTTCCCACACAGGGCAGACCTGGCCTATGGTCTTTAATGCTGTAAAAGGCTCGCCACCCTGGAAAACTCAGACAGATTAAGTGCACGTGATGGCATTAGCATCTCTCCCTCGGTCTGGTCTGATATGGACACCAACCACAAGCCTAGCTGAACCACTGACAGAGTTAAGACTTCAGAAGACTAGCACCCCCACATACACCCGCACTGTGTCTCAGACCTAGCCTCCCACACAGCGACACAACATCACTAAACGTGGTCCCAGCCCCTGTCTACACTCACTTGTAATAAATGTGATAGGCACCCCTGCCTGTTCTCAGCTGATGTCTACATGCTCACAATAAAACGAACTCATAGCACCTTTTAGAGACTCCAGGAAAATATCATAGGAACATTGGGCAGCGGGGCTCATGCTGGGACTTTCCAGATTCAGCATTCAATGTGGGCAACGGTGACCTTCAGGTTTTATGGAACGCGGGTCCTTAGAACTTGTTATTTAGTCAAGACTGGAAAGGAAGTTAGAATAATGACCCCAAAGCTTTTACACGTGTGGTTACCTTGTTCTGCCTTAAGGCCTCTGGCCAGCCCCTTACATTCAGAAGGATAGTGGGTGACAGAGGCTGGGCACTATTATACTTATTTTTAAGCCTTTATTGTACTGAACACAGTGCTAGAGACATACTGAGTAAGTGACTTTTAAGAGATTTCTGAATATATCATCAGAACTTAACACCTACAGACATCACAGCCATTAGGACCCTGCGCCAAATTTTTTTCTTTTTGAAATTTACTTCTGAGTAACAGTTTAAGAGCCACATAGGAGAGGCATTCTGGTTACTTCATGGTCTCCACCAAAATGATCACAACCATTATTAACTAAATTCAGTTCCTGCTAACTTTTTTTAAAAACTGATTTTAGAGATCAAAAGGAAGGGAGAGACAGCGATTTGCTGTTCCACTTATTTATGCAGTCATTGGTTAGTTCCTGCACGTGCCCTGACCAGGGATCAAACCTGCAATCTTGGCATATTGGGACGATGCTCTAACCAATTAAGTTACCCAGCCAGGGCCTAGAAACTGGGCCACTACAAAAGCGTCAAGTCTAGCCCGGCCAGCGTGGCTCAGTGGTTGAGCATCAACCTATGAACCAGGAGATCACAGTTCAATTTCCGGTCAGGGTATATGCCTGGGTTGCTGGCTCGATCCCCAGTGTGGGGCATGCAGGAGGTAGCTGATTGATAATTCTCTCTCATCATTGATGTTTCTATCTCTCTCTCTCTCCCTCTCCTCTCTGAAATCAATAAATATATTTTTTTTAAAAAGAAGAAGAAAAACCTTCAAGTCCATTTTCAAAGTATTTACCACTATTAAGAGTATTCAAAAATCTTCACAACAGTCTTGGAATTATTTGAACATTCCTTCATTGAAAAGGCAGTCATTCATTCATTCACTCAATGAATCATTCAACATATGCTTATTGAGCATCTTCCAGGACCGAGTTAAACATGAGGGGTAGAATGATGAGCTAAAAATGGACATGGTTTTCTGCCCACATGGAGCTTAGGGTCTAGTAGGAGAGAGATAGAACTTAGGAATCATTCGAATGAATGTAAAATTTCAATTATGATAAATGCTGTGGTACATGGGGCTCTCTAAGGAGGATTTGACTTAACATGTGAGGATCAGAATTAACCTCAGGGAGATACAACTTACTGGCTATTGAGAGATAGACAGGCATTTACTCAGCAAAGAAGTTGGGGTGGTGTCTGAGGCTGTGTTCCCTGGAAACGGACTCTGAGACAGATTTACACGTGGAAGATTTATTAGGGTGCACTCCCATGAGATACCAGCATGAGGAAGGCAGGATTGGCAAAGAGAGAAGCTGACCCACAATGAGCTTGAACTACGACCTCAGGCAGTCCTTCAGTAAGCTCTGGAACTGGGGTGGCTCTAGGAGTTGTCCAGGCTTTTGTATCCCTCCAGGAGCCTGTCGGTGACCTTGGCCAGCTGGCAGAATGGGGGGACCTTGGGTGAGCAGTTCCCTGCTGCAGAGGGCAAGAACCCATTACAGAGAGGGGCAGGGAGGTGACAGGAGATAGGATTCCAGGCGTGTGAGCTGAGGCTCCAGGACCTGG